GTTTCTGCGGGATTTGGCAATTTAGGACCTTTTGAAAGCCGGTACTGAAGCTCGGCGGTGTTGCGGGCGAAGTTTCAGGGGTAGAGGTGAGGGTTTGGGAAACTTTAAGGAAGTTAATGTAGCTCTGCATGGGCTGTTTTTTTCGACCCGAGTCTTCAGATCCCGACACGTACTCCGTTCCCTGACGTGCTTTAATATTTCTTTCTCTCCTTAGGTATGTGTTCACACCTCTCTTTCTGGAAAAGAATTACAGGAATCGTCATCGCTGTTGCTGTGATTTTACTCTTAGCATGGATTACCTTGAGTGAGTGCGTTTATTTCAGAAAGCCTAGCTCTGGAAAGAGAAGTTCAGTGCTTTTCTCTTTCGTTACGCTGTCTCATCATTGCTGAGGGGGAAGAGGTATTTTCACTGGTTTTCAGCTCTCACACTGTCATGGCTGCTGTGAGAGAGAGGAATCCAGAAAAGGAAAGCGAAACTAAAAATGTGTTAGGCATTGACATTGGACTGTCGTTTCCGGTAGCATTAAACTGACTTTTTTTTTTTTTTTTAAATTGCCTGCAGGATTTCATTGTACTACAGCATGGCAAAATGCTGAGGAATGACAGAGCCATAGGCAGCATTAGGGAGGCAGTACTGACTTCTTAACTTGTCTTGGCTTTGGCCTATAGAGTTATATTTACAGCTGAGTACACTGAACCAGAACCTGTTTAGGGTCAGATTTTAGCTGCTTCACGGTAGATAACTAGTGTCTATGTTTGCACTCTTTGTCAAAGATGGCCTTCTGCCCTGGCGTTCTCACCCGTGGTGTCTCCGGTGTAGCTGGAGCTTTGCACTTGCACATGCCAGAGTCTGTCTGCTGTCATGTGCCTGGTGTGTGAGCACGTAATCGGGGATTACTGGACCCACCGTAGCTGGTATAACTGGAAAAAACTACAACCGAGCCCAATCCTTCAGTTGTCTTATGTTCACCCACCTCCTACTGAATTCAGTGCAAGTCGTGGATATTTTTAAGATGGAGGAAGCAGGTCAAGAATTTGTAAGCATGTATACAATTGTATTTTAAACACATAATAATGAGTAAGTAACGTTCTCTTCATTTCTTCATTTGAACAAAAGATCCACCTAAATTACCACAGTGGGAGCCATGCCCTGATGACTGGCTCTACTACAAGAAGAAGTGTTACTATCACTCAGGAGTCATGGCAGATTGGAATTCCAGTCAGGAGTCCTGCTCTGACTATGGAGCTTCCCTTGCAGTGATTGACAGCCCCCAAGAGCTGGTAAGGTGTCCAGCACCTTGAATTCGGTGTTATGTCTGCTGTCCTAACAGTTTCTGTAACTCCATCACTTGTTCCCTTGTTGAAACCCAGCATACTGTGTGGCAGACTTGTTTGCTGCAAGTTGGTACAACCTACAGATGTTTTCAGCGCGATGTGGTCTGTTCACTAAAATCTGGTGTAGATATTCTGTTATTACCTTAGAGTGTTTGTCAGAAATTTAAAAGGCAAACTATGTATAAATGAAAAGTAAAGTCTGAAAAAATATAAAAATGGAGTTGTGACTCCTAATTACTAATAAAGAAGGTGTGGTTGTTTTTTTCTGAACTGGCAATTTATGTGCACATTGTAAGTTAGGCAATTTAGCCTGTCATCTCCCCTCACACCCTCTGGACGTTCATTCTCTCTCCAAGGTACCCAAAAGTACAGTCAGCAGCAATTCCCACTCTAAATATAACGCTAAACTAATTTTGAGTTTACAGACCACTGGTGCACGTCCATGTGTTTTATCTTCTTGATATTCTTTAAGGACGCAGGTCTTTTAAAGGGTGCTTTCTTTAGCATAACAAATGCTTTAGTGGCCAACCGAGGAACAGAAATGTGTTGTTAGTTCTGTGCAAAATAGTCAATTTCTCCATTTCCACAGAAGGCGAAGACTGGCTGTGGTTGTATGATGCTGGGACCCATGGCACTCAAAATACCTGGTTCGTGCAGGAGGTTCTACCTGTGGTTTTTGTTGTTTTCAAACCATTTTTCTTTTTACTATGTTCTTTGAGTCTCCTGTAGTGTCCTACCAATTCAGGGTGTTCTGCATGGCTGAGAAAAACAAAAGAAATTAGCACTATAGCAAATGTGTTTTCAGTGACGATTATAGGATCATAAGGAAAGAATTGAGAAAGACTTTGTTTTATTCACACTGCAGATGGTAAACTGTGCGTGTGCCCTCAAATGTCCTGGAGTTTGCGTTTAGGTAGTCCCAACTGACTTTACGGTCAGTAATATAAGGAACAGGAAAACAGAATGCATTCACACATTTATGATACAATTAGTGTCAAGAGTAAAAGTGTGAAAATTGGGAGGCTGGGGGATTTTAAATGTGTGACTTGAATTTGATAGAGACACAACGTAACTGACATCCAAGGAATTATGGTGACATAAAAGTTAAGGCAACCTGTGCCGAGTCAGGCACTGTGTCCCTGCTGAATACATGTCCTTGTACTGAAACACCATTCTCCTGGTGATACAGTGAAACCATTCTACTAGTTGACTATTGTGTAATGTGATATGGTATTTCTAATAACATACATGGATGTTTTTAATGATGGGGTGGGGCAGGGTGTAGGTGGATGGTGAGTAACACTGTGCATGACTACCAACTGGATAGCTGGGACCTCATTGACTATTAGTAATGGGTCTAGGGCTTCCTTTATTATTTCACCTGATTAAATTTAGCAGTAAAACATCAGTGACCTGTAAAAAAAAAAGTCCACCATTGTATATTCTGTGACGCAGTTTATATCTGTGCAGTTTTTATACAAAAAGCTATATAATCATAATCATAAAAAAATCTAATAGCCGTATGTCATTTTATTCTGTGTTTTGTCTAGAACTTTATAATGTATCGAATACGCATAACAAACTTCTGGATTGGGCTGCGCAGGAAAGGAAACAAGTTCTTCTGGGTGAATGGAGAGTCATTTGACACAAACTTGTGAGTTTTCTTTCAAATATACTATGCAGGAATGGAGTCAATGGCTTCTACTTTTGTCCCAGTAGAAAAGTTATTCTCTGTTACATACTCCACTGTAGATAAACTGGCATATCTTACCAAATGAGGGCTGTCATATGGCTGTAAAAATGCTAATACTATGCTAATAAAACTAGTTATGTCCCCAGAGAAGTGGGGAAGGGGCATCACTGCCTGCTTTTTCCTGTGGTGGCATAGCAGCTGATAGGTTATGCCTAGAATAATCTGTTTCTGTACAATCCCGCTGTATGAGGTGCATAACATTTGCCTTATTAGGAAGAATTACCAATGTTAGACATTATGATTTGTTTGAATTAGCTTGCCCTGTTGGTCTTGCAGGGTTCAACATGCCACCAGTATAGACAGGGCCTCCTAAGACCAACTGAGGTGTTCAGGGCCACATTGGAAGGTCACTGGGCGGGGGGGTGATGTACTCAGAAGGCATCACTTTTGCCCACTTTGTATCCCAGAGATTGGCTTTCTTTGCAGCCACATCCTATGTATTCTGCAGAGGTTCAGCAAAATCGGTGAGAAGAGGTGGCATAGCCCCAGTCTGTTCTGGAGTACTGCTGCCATGGGTCCCACTGGGATCCTCTCTCTCTCTTGCTCTGAAGAGTTGGGCCTTTTGTGCTCACAAAACATTGTAGACTATGAAGTACAAGTACACATACATCTCTGTGGGGATCAAAGCAACTTGCTTTAATAGAAGGTGCATCAGAGCATCACCATGTGTTTCATCACGTGCACGTGAATTCTGATCCTCCCAATGTGAATTGGGGCTCATTTTAAATAATTCTCTACTTTGTTCTCCACAGTCTTAAAGACCCAGTTTTACAAAGAATAAGAAATAGGTCTTCTGAATTTTAGACCACAGTTCTGCTCTAATTCTTATTTTTCTCTTGGCTTTCTAGATTTCGTGTCAATATAACAAATGAGGGAGACTGTGTCCATATAGATTCAGCCTTCATCTCTACCAGAAGGTGCTCCTCACTCAGGAACTGGCTTTGCACCATTGGTCAGTTTAGTCCCAAGACAAGCTCTTAATAGGGAACAGCTGGCTGTGCCAGTACAGAGACTTTCTTCACGAGAAGTTGGAATTCAGAATACTGAAAGTCCTTGCTGCAGGAGGTCCATGAGGGCAAGAGGTGCTGTGGCGAGGATCATATCCGAACTTCTCCAGGAGAAGCAATCCAGGGAGTAATAGTGACTCCATGTGAAAGAGGTAATTGGTTAAGAAGTAGCAGTACCAAGAGGAAATGGTGATACAACAGCCACGGCAAAGAACAAAAGTTGCTTCTTGGTAATACAGTTTCATTGTTGAAACTTCTGAAGGACGTGGCAATGGATGCTTTCCTTGAGAACTCTTCACAATTACAAAACACAGTTTATTAGGGCAGCTAAAAACTTTGTTAGATGGATATGAAAATGGACATATTGAAAATGCAGTCCATAGTGAACCCAGTAATGCCTCTGTTTTACTGTTTTCTATGGAGCTCAGTAATTGTTGTCCGAGAACTTTCAGTTTGTCTTTGTGGTAAGTGGGTGAGATTATCATAAGGTGTTTCGGCTTCCCTCCCCTTCTTTTTCCATGGGTTTTTCAAATGTGATTGCTATGTAAAGTCCAAGGATATAAATGGGAGCTTTGTAAACCAGGAAGGCAGATAATGACTAGGTCTTCTAGTGAATGGCACTGGTGTTATGGGGCATATAGAGTGGGACAGATTACAGATACTCTTCTCTATCCCTCTGGACTGATCTGCAAACCTGACGGCTACTACCCAAAACTTCCCTGAATATGTGGCAGCAATAGGAAAGCTCCCAGACTGAATCACGCACAGCTGTCATTTTGGGAGGGCTGAGAAAGTCAACTGGACTTAGAAGGGGAGACACATGTATATGTAGCATGGAAAGGGCTCTAGGGCAACTTAAATTGAGGTACTGTTGTGTTTCTCTGTTTGCCTATGCAGGGGAAAAAAAGTCAAGTGACTTGTGGGGGCAAGGATAGTTTAATAGCCCATGGGACAGATGCAATAATGCTAAATAGCATTGCACCTTGGATTAATCTGTTTAAATTCTTGGCACGATGCTCTGAAAATGAGCAGTGGGGGCATGGGAGGCTCACCTGGAAGATCTGCGGTTGGTTCCTACCTGGTCATTCTCAGATTCAGCAGATACCTGTACAATGACTGCTTCCCAAGATACATGATTTACAAAGGGTGGGCACCGTCTTTAAAAACGTGAACCAGAAGAAAGGCTTTTTAAGCCAGGAAAATGTTCTTGTCTGGAAACAGAATACTGCTTTAAGCTCAGGGAAGATGAAGAGTCTGTCATATTGATCTTCAAAGAAGTGGGAAGAAGAAATTGCAAATTGTGATAAATGCACTTGGTATTTATCCAGAAGATGTACTCCTTTGGAGGGGAAGAAAGAGGTGAGAGGAGAAACTGGAACAGAGTATTCAATATATCTTTGTTCCCCATGGTCATTCCCCAAGAAAGCACAAGAACAGGAGGGGGAAGCACCTTGTAAGGAACCGTGGGCAGGGTTCAGATTGCCAGGGTAAGGGACCTATTGCCCACCACGTGTCAAAAGTCCTGTTGAAAGAGTCAGCATGAAGTGCCAGACAGGGTGAGCAGTCCATTTTGCCATCTCTGTAAATTGCCTTATAAATATGCCAACAAATACTTCACTAATTGTTGCCTGTGATGCTTTGGGTCTCTGCTTTTCATTGAGTTGCTCCTCTGCTTTAGATGTGTGGTGGTCCGAGACTGCTTTGTTTACCTTATGGTACCTGCTTCTTTAGGCATGCTTAGTTACCGTCTGTAGGTGGGCACAGGACATTTTTCAACAGTGAACTTCACAAACTCTGTGTAGGACCATGACAGAGTCTGTGAGTTCATCATGAGCCTGACTGACTGGGAAGGGTCACCCCTCAGGTGATCCCTCCTCCCAGGCCCCAGCCCAGGGGCTCAGGACCCCATTTTGGCTCAACCAATCCATTGATTTTCCAGCTTCACCTCGGACCTGCCCTGATGATCTAGACCCTTGGCTGAGCCAGGCTACTGACCACTCGTGTTAAAAGTCTCACACAGCAGCTAAATTACAGTTAATTGCTAATAGCTTTAAGAAAACTAAAACCCATGTGAACTTCCCCTCATTTTGAGCTTTTTTTGTCAAGGAAAACTTGCACAATATTCCCCAGCATTGTGAGCTTCCCAGGCAAAGTTAGGTGAGGAACATAGCAACAGAGTCATACAAGTGGTTTTGCAACAGGTGAATTGCTGAATGCAATTTCATTTTAAACTTTCAATCAGAGTAGCAACCCACAAAAACAGAAGTTGAAAATAATATTTGGATAAATGTAATTGCTGTGTACATTTCCTGGATTATTTAACCACTGTGATTAAGGTTGAAATGAGCTGGATGTGTACTTTTTTCTTGCTTGTCTAGGTTATAAAGTTCTTGCGTAGTGAGCTCTCTGGCAGGAGATCAGTTTTCACTGCATGATCTGCACAGGATCCAACATACTCATCTGTGATCAATTAATACAATAGCAATTAGATTTGTTATAACAATTAAATTACATGCATTTTCGAAAGTAGTTTCCCAATTCAGCAAATAACGTCTCCCAAAGTATGAAATTCCCCTGTGATTCCCCTGTGCTTCCCTACCACACTCTGACATGCTGTGGACATTGTCAATTCCCAATGGATTCATGCTATCCCTAATCCTGTAACTGACGGAAAAGTGATGTTTTTCATTCAAAAAAATTGACTGGTACAGGCAAATAAACCCGGCTGGTGAGAAATAATCAGCAGTTGGAAGTTTTGCACAATGCTGAACTCAGGGGAAGAGCAGAAGTTTGTAGGAACTTAATCTTCTGCCCTGCAAATCTGTGGCCTCTTCCAACAGCAAATCCAAAATAAAGTCAGTCCCCATTTCAGCTGGACTAGGTTGCTAGTTTCATAAATTTGAAGGTCTGTCATCGTTCCCCCCCCCCCCAAGATTTATCTTTTGCTCCTGCAAAAATTGTTATACTGTGATTTCACATCATGTTAAGGCCAGGTCTGCACTGGCATAGATACTGTTGCATTTCACCATGCCTGGCATAACTTTGCCTCAGGCCAGGCGTGAATACCTGCTTTTACATCTCTCACGTTGCAAACCACACGCACAGGTGTTTACACTGCCTTCGTGCTTGCTGTGGGAAATCTAATCCAGCAGAGAGGTACCGCGGCGTGGGCTCGCACAGCCTGCTTGGGTGTGCAGTCTGCCAAAACGCCACCCAGAAAAACGCATCTCTCCCTCTTGCTGCTGCTTCTCCTTAGCCCTTGCCAGGGAGAAGGAAGCAGGGAGAGAGACCAGGGTGCACAAGACAGAGGTGCAATACGGAGCTTTACCCTGCAAAACCACTCCTGGCCTCAGCCATGCCTGTCCCACCTGCAGAGCTGCTGGGCTGGATGCCCGTTGGTGCAGGACAGCTCTTGCACCCTTGGGTGCTCTACGGTGTGTCCACGAGGCAGGAGGTGTCGGTGATGCAGCTGACTCTAGGCAGGGGGGGATTCACACTCCTCGTAGCCGTTCCCCGAGTCAGGCTGGCTGGGGTCCACTTCTCTCCATCGTCCCCAAGCAGGCTGGTCCCTGCTTCTGCACAGCCATTTCCACGCAAACCACTTTAGCAACTGCTTCCAGTCGCTTCTGCTTCCTTTTCCAGGCTGGGGGAGGGAAAAGAGACTTAAGCACCAGTGATGAGGAGGAGGTCAGAGGAACCCAGCAGATCTTCCCAGTCCAACAGGCAAGGATTACAGGAAGGGTACTGTGAAAAGCTTGATGAAGGACTTGCTGCTTCCAGCTGAGGCTGATGGAGAAAGTTTTGTACTTCAGACATGTTGGATGTGCAAGGTGACCTTTGAGAAGTCTGGGCTCACCTCGCTACATAGCTGCCAAGGTAGCATCCCACACATGCTCACCATTCACTGTGGTGAAAAGGGAGGTAACCATCATGTTTGGAAACCAGTGACCCTTAGTGGTCCCCCCAGCTGCCTATGGCCGCTCAGCCCAGTGTTGGGCAATTCCCAGCTGGAGATGCTGTGGACTGGTGGATACTCTGTCCACAGTGGATACCCTGGTTGAGTTGAAACCTCCCAAGTATTCAACAACTAATCCATGGGGTAAACTTGGAGAAGCTCTGCCACTCCAGCTGGTCTTGGGCAGATCATACAGGGAGCATATTCCTTCTCCTGTGTCCGTACTGCGCTGCCCTGGCCATGAAGCGATATATATAGATCCTGACAGTGCCTTCGTATGGTTCAGGTGCCCCTGCGCAGCTGAACGAGGTTGCACAGTGAACGTTTGCCTGGCTGAAATCCGGATGCTGATCACCAGCTATGGTTCATCCAGCATGTGCTATGTCCCTTGCTGTGTCCTTGCCGCCCTCCCCAGGAGACAAAATGATGTCCTAATGCAGAAAGGCTAATTTGCTGTGTCTACGTTGAACAAGTGAAGCAGAATAAATACGTGATTCAGTCAGACATTTGTCCCCCTCCATGACTTGGGCTCCTCAAAAGACTCGTTCAGACCAAGGGTGTCACATCCAGTGGAAGACAGAGGGAGGAAAGTGGTTGCTCAGCTGGTTCATTGTCTTTAACCCTTTTGTTCATGTTTTTCCAACCTGGCTAATGCTAGGCCAGCATTAGCAAAGGAAGGAAATAACAGGGAAAGGTAGTAGCACCTGTCTGTCTTAGCAGGTTTACTTTTGGTGTTTCCTGGCATTTATGAAATACCTACCATCCTTATCTAAGTGCTTTCTTCTAAGCTGTTGGAGCCATTCAGGCTTTAATTGATTGGAACAGAAGGACAGCAACCCTGAAACAATAGGGGGCTTTACTCATTGTAGAATTACAATTTTTACCTCTTTTAATTTCTTAATATGCAAATAGTACTCTTTCAAAATTATATAATCAAATATAAGTTATCCAAGCTTGCAAGTGATAGTTTAGGTGAGCTGAGCAAGGGACGGGTCACAATTCAACAGTTTGCCTTTTTAAGCCCATATCCAAACTAAGACAGCATGGAATAAGAATAAGAATAAGAAGAAACTGCTATGACGTTTCCTGCAAGAATAACACAGCAATATTAGAGCTTTCAGTTTGTCTATTCAAAATTTCATTAATATATTTTCCTAGGAATTTTGTCTGAAGTACCACTGTTTCTAGTGGGATTTCAGAACAGCTCTGAGTTTTTTTGATGCATCATGAAACCTTTTAAAATCAAGGCCTTTTTAAACATTGTGCATAAAATACTGCATTACTTTTTGGCAGAAGGCAGCTGATTATTAATTTCAACATCCTTGTTATTAGTGCCATTTATGATATACACTGTGCAATACATGCAGACTGCTCTACTCAGACTTAGGAAGACCTTCACATGTTTGAAATAAGGTTGTCACAGGAAATCTTGCCTGAAGCTTTCTCCTGATAACTACAGAAGGAAAAGGTATTGTGTGTCTAGTCTTCCAAGCAGACTGGGAATCCGCTCAAAACATACTCTCTACACCAGGGCTATTGTTGCCTTTACTAAAAATCTTCAGGAGCTGGTAAGGCACTTATGAGAGAAATGTCCATGCATTAACACTTCTCTTGCCTCTGATGACTATGAAAAGAATTACTTTTACCTGCATGTGTTGCAGTACAGCATTATACTCAGTCTCAGTCTTTTCACTAAGTACATGTGAGACAAAAATCAAGCTGCAGACAGTCTAAAAAAATTTCCAGTACTTTTGAATGCATTCTTAAGAGATATATGGGTCACAAGAAATAATAAAAGTATTTTCCTATTCCCCTTCTAGGAAAACATATAATTCTTAAGAGAAATGGTGGCTAATTATCAGATGGCAGGGCCTCCAGCCTCCTGAAAATACAGGATTTATTTCCCAGGCATACTAAGTTTGCATCTGCCACTGCACACAGATTGCTTAAAAGAAAAAAAAGACAATTTTAAATTCTTCTCAGTGGCTGATATTTTGCTTGTTCAGCTCTAATCAGCTCTTCAGCTTATGCTCAGAAGGTGAAAACTTAAAGCGATACAGTGCTTTATATCCATGGAGATTTGTTTACATAAGTTATGTACTTGTTTTGGATATAAATTATATGAATTTATTCTCCACAGTGAAGAGTTCAAAACCCTGAAAAAAAAATCTAAAAAATCATGAAAAGAAAAGGCTGAGAAAGGATTTCCACAGATTGTCCAGTTCCTATTCTGCCCCAGTGCAGGAACACCACCACATTGTTATCTATTTCAGGGGGAAAAAAAAGCTATTCCTTTTAGCCTAAGCCAGGGGATTTCCTTTAACTAGGAGTTACAGTGGAGTTTTAGGTCCTGGGACAGAGCAGGCTAATATGCAGAAACTCCAGAAATCAAAAAAGGTCAGTCTTAGGTGGATGGGTAGTTGCTGCCCTTGGGAGAGCGCTGCCTGGGGTGAGACATCTCTTCCCTCCTAGCTTTGCCAGCATGCTGCTTGCTGTGCCCCGCTGAAGTCCTGACACCTAACACTGCCTTCATGGTCTATTTAGGCAAAGATTTTGAGCTATGTACTGTGGCCTTTGACACCCTCCTCCATCTCTGCCGCCATCACTACTCATCATAGGATATGGCTATTGCACATCTGTCCACAAAACCGTCTCCCCATTTCCCCTGTGCTCCTGTCCTCCCCATCAGGATTGGTTTAAACTGCTTAAGCTTACAGTTCAGTTAGAGGGGTGCAGTATATCCCAGTATCTCTACAGTACTTTACTGTGTTGGTTTTGGTTGGGAAAAGCTTACTGCTAAGTCATCTGTACTTTGTGAATTTGAAGCCGATATCCATCTCATCCACTCCTTTTTTATCTTCCAGGCTTCTTTCTTCTTCACACTCTAGCTATCTCTGAGTAGTTGTTTTATGCAACTCATACTTTAAAAAAAAAAAGGCTACATATGCATATAAAATTTTCTTCAGTTTAAAAGGAATATAATTTCTGATATATTTTATGGCGCAGTAGAGACATCTAGTGACTATTTTGTGTTATTAAAATGCAAAGGCTTAATGTAAGAGGGCAAAAGACCTCCTTCAAACCCTTGAAATATTATTCTAGTGATAGGTACATTGATACATGCTTTCCCCAAATCCACTGACAAAATAATTTTGTCAGTTCTGTGCAACTAGTAACACACAGGATGGAAAACAGCGACCAAACATCACTGGCTGCCGTGCCTCCGGAGCCTCTTTTCTCCTTTCCCCAGGTGCCTTCAAAAGCCTTGGATGCTACAATAAATAAATTTAGTCTAGCTTTGCATCGCTGGCACCGAGGGCACTGTTTAGTGCCTAAGTGCCAATACAAATCCCTTCCTCATTATTTTGCTGAAGTAAAGAATTTGCCTCAGAACACCTTGGCTGCAAAGTCAGGCAGCAAATATCTTTTTCAACTGAATCATCACCTGCCTGCTAAGGGAAGGGGAGGATGTTGGAACTGGAAGGGGGTTGGAACTAGATGATCTTTAAGGTCCCTTCCAACCCAAATCATTCCATGATTCTATGTTCCTTTGGATAGAAATGCTTTAATCCTGAGATCCTCCGCTTGCTCATTTAAGTGCCTAAGGGCAGGTGACTAAATCCAAGCTGTTTACTTAGTTTTACTTCCCAGTTAGCAGAGAGAAATAAGTACCTCCGTGGTCCTATCATCTTCTCCTGAAAGGACTGGTCCCCTGAATGTCTCCGGACAGCAGAGACTAGGTGAAGGAGGCACCAGGGGAAGGTAAGTCCTCTGGTCCTGCAGCAGCATCTTGAACTGCTGCTGAAGGGCAGGACCTGGCTCCAAGGTCGGTGCTTTGAGTGTGACCACTCCAACACTTGTTTTTCCAGGTGTGTAAAATAATGCAGGTCAACCCGATGGTGCCTGTCTCCCTTGCCAGAAACCTCCTCTCTGCAGAGGAAGACTGTCCTGAACCATGAACATGAAGTAGGCTGCTCATGATGGGCCAGAGCTCCTAAACATGCCCTTAGCAAGCGAATTCTTCCATTCCCTACAGACTGCTCAAGGATGGCACGATGTCAAACGCAAACTCACCTGCAATCACCCTATTGCATGACCCACGTGTCGCAACAGTCCTAGGCAACGATGAAGTCCTAGGCAAATCGCACAGCGTGAGCAAGAGCAGAGGTCATGCGTTTGCTATGAGCGCTGAGCAGAGCTCGTGGTCTTGTGCAGTGCATAGCACCCCGATAAGGAGCACAGCGGTGTTTGTGCATGGCACACGTGAATCATTAGTGGGGTAGATGCTGAAGAGACCTACGGGATGCAGTTATACCGACTAATATACAGTGTGCATACATCCAGGTGCCTCCAGAGCGGTTGTCCTTGAATGGTGTAGGCATACCTACAGTGCCAGCAGGCAGCTGGAGGCCTGGCCTGGGGGCAAGGGCTCGTTCTCTGGCATTGTTAATAAAGATGTTGATAACTTACTCTGTGTTACCACGGCATTAAATAGGAATATGTGCTTAATTTACACACTTACTAAATGTATATATACCTATCAAGGCACAGGTACAACAGTTTCCTACAGATCCTTCAAACAAAAAGTAGTTGCATTATGTCCCAGTGCTGTTGTTATGCTGGCCCCATAGCATACATACAGACATTCAGTTTCTTCTTTTTGTCTCTGAAATGGCTGGTTTTCTGCCTTTTTTTTCTTTTTTTTCTTTCTGGGAAATCATCTCTATGGTTATCATTGTTTTTCCAGTTTTAATCTGATGGCTTTCAGCAAGTCTTCCCATATGGCTAAGTACTTTACAGTTACTTGAAATCGTTGTAGAATAAAAAAATCAATATGCTTTGCCTTAACCTTTCCTCTTTGTCTGTTCAAAGTATATGGTTTGTCAGGCTGCATAAAGAGCTTGGCCTTAGCAGGTAAGACAGACGGCAGCAAATCATCTCCCCTCAAAGCTTTCCCTGGAAGAAAAGGGCATTATACGGAGCCTTTTAGTTACCAGGATCATTGACAGCCCATTCGGGAAAGAGTTTAATGATTTAAGCTGAAAAACCCAGTGTAGTTCATCCTTCTTCCACGGCTGGTCCCAAGAGGGCAAAATATTGCACTTCTTGACTTACCACCATGATTACTCCATTGTCTTCCTCTTGAACTAACATCTCTACTACAGTGAAAAAAAAGAACCGTGTTGTCTGCCTTTAATGAGAACATTCGATGACCAGCATGCAGAGCAGCAACAGGTCAGACTCAGCCCTGGTTTAATTCTGAGCTTAATAATGCCCCTGGGATATGAGGATTAGCATGTGGTCTAGAGCTGGTTGAAGAGCTGAAAGTCCTCTGGGAGAAGAATTCAAAGTTCTGGCATCATTTTAAGTTACCATAAAACCAAAAATTTTAGAAATTTCTATGTGGGGGAAAATCTGAAGGAAAAAGAAAGTTGGCCTAATAGCAACATTTTGTTTCAAGTCCAACTTTAAAAATTAATTTTATTCAGTATGAATTAAATAAAAAAATAGTTAAAAATACAGAAAAAAATTATCTCAAAGGTCTTGAAATGAGACTTTTCAGCAATGTCAGACATTCCCTCTGTTCCTCCCCTCATCATTGCTTTCCAGTTTCAAGCCTGAACTAACGAAGTTTAGGAGGAAGTGATTTGATAATCGCAAACCAAAGCAATCTAATAATCACAATCTGAGTTTTCTGTTGAAATACATTTTAGTGTCCAGTTGGTTTGAGGAGGATATGTACATATTCAGTGTGTTGCCAGCTCAGGTTCCAAATGAAAATTGCTCACAATTTATGAGAAAGTTGATAAAAATCATAGCTATACTGCTTTTAATAGAACATACACCAACAGAAGGGGCTAAGAATTAAGAACTGTTTATCAAAAGCTACAAGGTGAGAAGTTACATTTGAAAACAAAACAACAAAAAGAATCTAGTTTCCTTCCGTTTTACAGACATCTAAACATTTCTTTTGACCTAATGTGGTGTGATGGGTGGGGGGAGGCCAGAAAGGATGTAATACAGGGTACTACTTCTTCAATGAGTCCATTTCGATTGCAGATCTGAAAGCAACTTTTCAAAATGGCAAGTGAGGTGGTTTATGCAGAGGTATCGCCCAAGGAAAGAGTGCATTTTACTTCACAAACTTCAGATACAGGTAAAAAATGGTCATCTTAATATTACTTACTTTTCCTTTGCTTAGTGACATGTTCTTAACACTTTCATTCTTTCTTAAATCAAAGCATTCATTCACATTGAAAGCATTTTTATAACTATTAATTTCCACTATAACTATTAATATCCACCTCTGTTTATTATGTATCTATTTGCTTGGCAAATTCATATTTATTAATAGAAGGATCACTGAATTCTAGCAAAAGAGAAGAATGACCTTTAAAATTCCATTCTGCATTTCAGTAGTATGGCTGAAATGTGCTGTTCCTGAAACACATTAGTGATCAGACATTTTGAAGATATTAATAAGGATTACTGGAAACTCATTGGCAGTGCACTGATGATACTGAATGGACTTCTCTCTCCTGTAGTACATTTACATTTTATATTTGATTCGTTTTCTTAGACACCAGAAATATTTTTAAATTCTAAAGCAATAGGTCTATTTATCTTTTCTTTTCTTTTCTTTTCTTTTCTTTTCTTTTCTTTTCTTTTCTTTTCTTTTCTTTTCTTTTCTTTTCTTTTCTTTTCTCTTTCCTTTCCTTGTCTTTTCTTTCCTTTTCTGTCCTTTTCTTTCTTTCCTTTTCTGTCCTTTTCTTTCTCTGTCTCTCATTCCTTCTCTTTTAAAAGTTCGATGTTGAGAAAAATACAAGTCAAGAATCAACAGAGGTTTCTATAGTTTTGAAACTGATTGTCCTACAATTTGTGTATGACCTACTGATGTCTTCAACTATAAAACTGCATTACTTTAAAAATTTACTTTCAAGAAATAAAGTGCAAAAGATAGCCATTAATGGATATGAGTAGGAAATAATTAATGTTTTTAAAACAGAAGTATCAAGTTTTATTTTTTTAGATTCTGATCAAAAAAATAGATCTTTGCTAGTTATAAGACAATTAAGCATAGCAAATTTATTTAAAATTCTAATATCCAGAGTTCACAGTATGAAAGAAAAATGTGTCCTGGATATTCTAGCAAAGCAACATTTATTCTATAAAAGTAAGTTTTGTAGATTTGCTCCTTGGGACACAGTGTTAAGAGCATCTGTACAGGTATGATGTCTTTTTTTTTCATGAGTTAACTCAGATTGCCCTTAGATTGTGTGATCAGTTCACCATAGAAGAACTGCATTGCCAGGACCATCTCTGGGACCTCAGTGTAGAACTACCTTATCAGTACTTTTTGGAAGATGTACACACATGCCCAGTAGAAACATCTGTACAGAATGTTTCAAAATTTGAGAGCATAAAAGTCCGTTCCATCTAATTTTTTTTTTTGTTGTTTCCTCATCCGAGACTGTCCTTTAAATTGACAGTTATATTTTAGTTTCAAGTGCTTTCACACAGCTTTTAATACACTTCAGTGAGTTATGCTTAGAAATTGCTGTTGCAAGTTATCCTGAGAGCCCTCTAACCCAGTAACATACTTCTGAAAGTTGCCAGTATGAGGTGCTCAGAAAGATAGTGTCTAAAAAATTTTGATGGCCAATTACAAGGCTAATTAAGTAACCAAATTTCAGGCAAAACATTTTTCTTGAGCTTTAGAGTATGACGGCATGGTGTTTACACTTTCATAACCTTTTTGAAAAAATCTTTTCAATTGCAATACCTATATTCTTGTCACTTCTGTGAATCTTGCATCCCTTTTGGTGTCCTAATAAATACTTTACTTTAATAACATCCTAAACCAATGACTTCTACAGTCTGATTCTAATATCTTGCATGAAGAAATACTTTAAATCAATCTTGAATTTGCCACCCATTAATAGCATCAGTGTGTCCTAGTGAAATATAGTGAAAAAAACACCTATCTATATAATTAATTTTTTCGTGTTCTTATAAATTTCCATCATACATTCTTACAATCTCTAGCTTTGATTTCTACATGTGCTCCATTGCTTTCATAGTTGAGAGCATGAGCGCAGGAATCTGTGGTCCCCATCTTCTGCCAAGCGCTGTTAACTGTTCTCACTCCTTGGCTGCTGTGTGAGAAAGATACTGTGTTCAACACGACAGGGATTTGATAATGCTTCGTACTAAAAATGGTTGAGATTTGGCGTTTTTCATAAGATCTCAGCAGCTCTGGCACCCTTAGGAGGTTGCTCTTCTTCAGGCAAAAGCTTGGTATTGGCTGTGCCAGAGTGAGGTCAGAGCAGTTAAGCTGGCTATCATCCACCTGCCTGAAAAAGCTCAAAGGAAGCAGTTGCCGTCTTTTTCCATGCATATTTTACATTAGATCAAGACTTGGAAAGGCTAAAGTTGCTCCTGTGGGACAGGAATAATAGCCTAGGCCAGCAAAGAAAAGGGGTTTCATGCTGCCCCGCCTCTGAGCATTTTTTTGAGTTACAGACTCCAATCTTTGTCCTGTCTTATCTGGTTACATAGCTCTTAAATTTGTTTCCCCATAGCCACTATGCCTGTGCCCTGGGTAGCCTGCACCCCACTTCTCCTCTCCCTTCGGCCCCCTTCTGCCTCCTGGAGTTTTTGCATGTGGTGGATAGAGCTTTTAATCTCCACATTGCTGAACTTGTCCTACATTTTGCACTGCTGAAGTCTGTATTTGCTCAACTTCCCCATGGCACTTCAGAGAGAAATCTGTTTGGGTTCTCTCTCAAGAAAAAAACCCCACTTATTTCATACACTTTCAGCAAGCAGATTTGATGTAAGTAGCCCCTGGGAAATGAGGCAAAACATGCAAAGCGGGCAATCTACAAGGCGGTGTCTTGCAGTTGATATAAAAATACAGGTTCTTCCTTCCTTCCTTCCTTCCTTCTGCTGCCACACCTACCAAAAACTGCTGGGGTCAGTCAGGCATGTCCCACCACTCACCGCTTTCCCTCTCCCTCCTACTCTGGCAGTTCATCGGCAGATTTAATATAGCAAGATGGAGGAGAAACTCCAGTGCGGTTCACCACCTCCTTACACCTGCAGACATCTTTCTACTTACACCTCTTCACATGCGTTTTTCTGATTGTACAATATTGCTGATTTTGGCCAACAGTCCTGTGGACACCCTCTGGGAAGTGAGATGTCTTCTGGGCATACCTCTAAGTATATAAATTTGAAAGCACTGTCACCATGATGTACCTCAACCATGCCATAGAGGTCAGTTACCTAAATATCGTCTTTGCCTTCCTTGAGCTTTACATCTAGCACTGAACTAAATAGCCAAAGGATGTGCTGCTTTTACAGCGATAGTGAAACAGCTCTCTTCTGTTATGCAGATGGCCAGTGTAAGCATCCATACATAATAACAGACTAGTGTAGGCAAGGCCTCCAAAGATAAGGAGAGCAATGCTTAGCTCTTGGCTTTAAAGCAAAACAATCTCAGCAAACCACCCGCTTTCTTAGGAAAACGAATGGCTGCTGCTGAAAATCCTGTTGCCAATTCCTTTTCCAGCCCAGCTTGCATGATTGTTAGTGAATTGATCAAGCACTCCTGATAGTGCAGCAGACAGGAATGCTCCCCTGTTGAGGCTGGGAAGGCAGGGAACGTGCAGTTTGCCAGGCAAACCCACACCTTTGGGGAAAGCCACCCTGACAACATTTTTTATGCTCTGCTTTGGTTGTAAACATCTTGTAACCCATGGTGAAAACATTTTTTTTAATGGCTGCAACTTGGTGTGTCACAACCATGCTAGTGGTTACCAGCGCATATGAGGGTTTTCTTCTGACTGACCACGGAATGGGGAGATTCCCAGCAGCCCCCAGTATGTGTACTGACCTCTGCCATGTCACATTTGGAAGCCTGATGTGAAGACAGTGCTACAGAAAGTGCTGGTGTGCTTGCCACAGGCTCCACGCATAGCAAGAGGCAATCCTTTTGCATTTGGAAGGCGTGTCTTCCAGTAATAGAAAAGCCACAGTTTATTTTGCCTGAATGTGCTCTGTCTCAAGGCAGTTCTTTCAGTGCAGCCATGTCTTATTCTGGTATAATCTATGTAGGCCAATATCTCCAAGCACTCTGGAGATGCTAGGTAGTTTTCGGAGGGAACAAGTGCATGCTCTGAGGCACAAGCATCTAACAAAGACTTCCTCCTGATGTGTGTAAAGGCAGTCAGATCAAGTGTAAGGATAGAGGAGCTTTTTTTTTTTTCTTTTTCAAAATAAATCCTAAAAACAGATATCTGAGAAGAAGGATATTCTGGGAAGCTCTTTATCCTGATGAGCAGCTGATAAAGGGGGAAAAAGTCGGGAAAGAGCATGACAAGTAATGCGTGGAAGAAACAGAGAAGCAAGCAGTGACTGGAGGAAGATCAGTTGTTCCCTGTTGTTTCTAGACCTCATTACGACAAACAGCATAAACGTTCACAATGAGAGAAAGACCTGCTTTGGTTGCCTTGGTTTGTGAAATGGGGATTTCCAAACCCAGAGGAATGGGTGTCTTGACTCAGCGGAGATGAACTGCTGCAATTTGAGCAGTCCTGCCAGCTCTGCATCAAATATGGAAAGTTTCCCTTGCAAATGGCTCTTAGTTATGGAAAGCATGTGTCCAGGGCACTGATGTAAGAGAGGAGAGGGCCTCCTCTGCTGACAAATGAGAATGATCATAAATTAGCAAGGTAATAAAGATTTAGATAAGTCTATTGTTAAGTCTTCTCTCCCCAAGTTTCTGTCTTCTGTGACTAACCACAAGAGAAAAAAAAAAAAAAGCTGCTTTTGGATTATTCTGGCTGAGAATTAACTACAGACAGGCTTTCCTTTCGCCTTTTTGTAAAGAAAGTTGAATTAATGGCTTGTACTGAAAATCTGTGCTCTGTCTGCAGTGGTACTTACCAACCATTAATTAAAACCTTATTTAAATTCTTGGAAGAATGAACTTGAGGAAGAAAAATCTGTGGATGAAATGAAAAAAACACATTTATATTTTGCATATTTTACATTTGGTGGTTTACTCTGAATTGTTAAAAATTATGTTTAATTCATCAGTGATTGAAAAATAGCTTGTCTCTGCTCTATGCACATGCATAGTTCCAACAGGAACTGTGCTCCTCTTTGTGAAAGAAACAGTAGAAGACAGGCATGCTTCGTACCCGTGTACAAGATCTGAATGCACTAGGAAGAAGAAGTTTATTAAGAATTAAATAGAAAAAAATTAATTTAGCCAAAAAAGTTGCCATTGATTAACTTCTGCTTAAAGATTGACAGAATGTATACATGTGTGTATAAGATATGGAATAATAAGAAAAAAATAAAATTAATAATAGAGTAGTTCAGTGTGTGATAACCTACAGTCACCTACAGGGTTTTTTTAATTTCTCTAAAATTTAATAACTGAATAACATTTTTTGTATTTCTTTGGAAAACTGCACAGCAGGACAATTATGTGCATTAACTCTTCTAGTAATTTCTTTTTGGCACATTCATTCAGTGACACGCAAGTCTTATCAGAAAAAAAAAAAGAAAACAACCTCTTTTGTGTGTTCTTGCTCTTCCCACTTTCTCAGAGAAGGTCTGATGCTGCAGGGTACTCAATGCAATGCGGATGGCGAGGGCTGGCCTCAGGCAGGTTCTCTAACTGTGGCACTTTTTGTCTCAACAGGTGATCCAGTCACATACAGTGAGGTGAATGTGAAATGGCGATCTGACAGACCTGACAGCACACCCAAGACTACACATACAGGTACTGCAACACTGCGGGACACTTCACATTTTCTCATTATATTTCATCATCTTTGTATACCATCATAATTACGTATTTACATATAGTGGAGGAGTTGCTTAGGGCTAGCTGCCCAAAAAGATGTTGATATGATCTAGGCAAATCAAAAGACCTTCAAAACCTTTCCCAGCTGCTGGTTTTCCCTGGGGGTACCTGAAGGCTGCCAGTGACAGTGTTTTCAAGGTCAGCAGCTAGAGTCACAGGCCCCCAGGTTTGCATTAGGCGAAACTTTTTGTGCCTCAGCCCCAGCTACGCCCGTGAGGATTCATGGCGTCAGTGTCCCTTGCCTCCGGGGCTCAGTCTAGCGAGCCTTTGGCTTATGTCTGTGCTGCTGGTATGGATTGCACCTGGGAGCAAAGGGTGGCCCCGAGTCCCCTTGGTGCAGACAGATTTGTGTCCCCACTCCTCAGTGTGAGCCATGCCGGAGAAAACCAGCTGCTTCTGCACACCATAGCTCCTGGCCGCTTACCTCCTTCGGGCCCCCTGAGACTCGTTTGGTTGTGGCGTTCTGCTTGAGAAATTTAAAAGGTGGTGGCATTGCACCTCACCAAAGTACCTTTTTTTTTTTAAAGCATGGCACAGAAAACATTGCTATATGCTGCTGGGAATGTAATAAGGGGTCTCACATAGACTATAGGAATGTCCGCTGGGGATGCTGCTGATCAGTTTTGGGCAGAGGGAGTAAAATTTGACACTGTCCATACCTGCACTGTGGGAAAAGAATGTTCTCTGAAATACAACCAGCTTTCTGCTGAGAAGGGACGAGATAGTTCATCCCAGAAGGATCCCAGAAGAAAATGAACATGTACCATGCAGGCAGTGTGGTCTACTGGAGGACCAGGACCTGGCAGCAGGACAAACTACCATTCCATGCCTCTAGTGAGTTAGACCCACACAAAACACAGCAACTCTCCACCCGTTCAGCAGCCAAATAGCACACTTTTCCAGGGTATGGGACACTATCACTTTCTATCTTTGCTGCGGGTGATTTCGGTCCATTTTTCCCTGCTCCCCACTCCTGAGGGATGCTCAGAACATGTGGTTAAAATTCACTTTGCAGTCAAGGCACTTGCAAACTCTTCTGTTTAGCAACAATTTCCATGTATTGTTTTTCATTTCCACATGCATTTAGGGTGAATGAACAGGTCAGCGATAGTATTTAAAGCACAGAAACTGAGTTACTTTTAGAAAGTAATAGCTAGAAAGCAAAAATTTGGTTTTTAATAGTTATTTGACAAGTTCAGATAAATTGTGCCTATCCTTTTTCCAGTGAAAATTTTAAGATACATTAAACTATTTTCTCAAACTGTGTAACCAGTCTTGAAAGTAAATTTTGTTCTGCAGAGTGAAATAATATATCGGATATGAGTTTTAACTCTCCTGTCAGAGGTGAACATGAAGAAGAGAAGGAAAGAAAATATTGCATTCGTGTGATGCATAAGAACAATTAAGATATTTATAGAAAAAATGTTAGCTGCAGAAAATGCTGGTGAGAACAAATGTTTCCATTGGTGGGTTATTTTGGCCTTACCACAAGGAAAAAGAAACTGAAAGCTTCAGATGGTCTTTCTGATTAAAAGTGACAGTTGGGCAGACAAGAGAGTGGGCCAAGTGGAGATCTTGGTCCCGCTGTTACAAAGGCAAAACCAATTTACTGGCTTCATTTAAATGCCCTCTGATTTTATGCCAGTGAAACCAGGATTGGACTGCAGCATGAAGAGTATTGTCAGCAATACAGTTTTGATACATCGCCATTGGCCCATCTGTTTGTTGGCGGCTGCCTTTTTGCACCCCAGCCCTCACTTCCTCCCTTCCTTTCTCTGATTCTGCCTACGCTGTCAGTATGGCCAGGTTTTCAGGATTTTGTTCAAGGAATATCAAAATCCATATATGCTATACATATGGATAAATGCTATAGGTGAGCTCTGTCCCTTCACATTCCTCACTGAAACCTCTTTAAAACCACAGAAGCCAGGTGTTTGTTCTAAATCTGGTTTAGATGGGGGGGGGGTGGGGTACCGTACAGATCAGCCTGAAAAGTGCTAAGGCATGGGAATCAAAAGAACACAATGATCCTAGACAGGATTACAGTTGGAGCAGAAAATGATGGAGGCAGGGAATTAATGACTCATTAAACATGTGTTTCTTTGTTATGCTCAAAAAGAGGATAATCTGGAAAAAGTCTCTAGAATTTCAAATTACCTATAGAACCTTTTTTTAAAGCCTGAATGTGAATGTCAAGATTTCCTTGTGGGTCTTCAGTTGTGTAACCTCAGAAAAATAACCCATGATAGCATGACGATTCTCCAAGGGAAAGGCAAGGTGTATTGCAGAGTGAGAAGCACTGGCAGCGCTGTGCAGGTGTTGCAGGCAAACTGCATGGCAAAATGTTGACACATCAGCATTGGCAAAGCTGTTGCCTGGCCACAGAAGGTGAGAGGGCATATTTTTAGGCATCTTCTCAACAGCTATGATGATAAAAACTAGGCCTGGCCAGGGAAAGGGTTCTTCTGACCCTGAAAATGTGATTTTATATGTAAACATATATACATACAGGTTTATATACATATAAACCTATATACATACATAAATACATAAAGTTTTTTTTCACGTAACAACTAAAATGCTAGGACCCACAGCTTTCCAGTTTTCAGGCATTTGTTTTTTTGGTTAAGAAAAGAATGTCCAAAGCAAGATTTATCTCCTACAGGTACATTTAGCTGAAAAAACTCCAAAATTTTTTCCGTTGCATCTGCAACACACCAAGCATATCCTCATAAACTTGCTCTTCGCTTTCCACAGGTGCTAGATCTATAGCACACAGGGTAGCACATTCCTGCTGAAGGCCTAGCTACAATGATTTTGCATACTCGAAAAACTAAGAACAAAACTTGACTTGCTTCTGCCTGTGGTGAGACCCCTCTCCCTTGTCCCCTTGGCAGCGACCTGCTTGGCGAACTCGCACTGGTGTTACGTCGTTGTCGCCCTGTACTTCACTGCAGTGATTCTGCTCATCACTGTCATCCTCCTGGCAGTGAAATGTCACAACCTCTGAGGCAGACTCTGCCGTCCCGCTAACGTAGAGGGTAAGCCATTTTTAGCTGCGTTTGTATTTTCATACAATACATTTGCATTTATCAGAAGGGGTGCAAGGAAGCATCCCAGACCAAATGCTAAAGTTGCCGTCACAAATTCAACCAGCTAGCAATTCACAGTCACACTAGATAAAACCTAGCTCCCTGCCACCAATGTATGCTGTACTTCACAGAGCACATTTGAATACCCGGCAGCTTTTGCAGAACCGCCTGCCAGGGCAAGGATAGGGTTCTGCTGCTTCTACTCCAAGAAAATTCATCACTTAAGCGTAGGTGTGTCCCAGCTGTGGAGTGAAATAACCCCACAAACCTGCCGTGACATGAACCAAGTGCGTGGCTTGGTGCAGCTGGAGGTCATTCCCATAACAACTGTCCAGGCCAGGCTTGACAGTGACCTGGTGAAGTGACAGGAGACAAGCCAGCTGTGTCGTTCAGTCTGGGATTTGAAGGAAATCAGGAGAACAGTTGTCTGTCTGATTTGGACTAGGAATGGCAGTGAACAGCCCTCCAGAGAAAACCTTCCCATCCATACCTAGTGCTTCTTGTAGAGCTACAAAGCATGTTTAATCGCTCCTCCTGGTCGCTCTCCCTGGAAGCTGTCACTGGCCACTCAGAAGACACCATGTCCTTCCTGCGCCAGAACCAGTGCCCCTGTCACTCAGCAGCTCACTAGTCATATCTGCATGACCATGCCTCCGTCCCGAGGCACAGCACGTCTTGCCACGGTCCTCATGGCATACGGCTGCCCTCTCTTTACTTATAGGATGCTCGCAGCAGGTTGAACTTCAGTGAGATTGTCTACTTTTAGCTTTTGTCTCTTACTTCCAGATAACTCAGCATGGGAAGGCTCTGCTTCTTCAACAAAACAAGACATAATGCTTCATAATGCTTGTTGACTTTTACATTATTCTCTCTGAAGACACCTTTATGTAAGAAGACATGCCATCAGTCTGATCACTCTTCAGTTATGTCTTCCAGGATCTCCATTAAACCTCTAACCTCTACATATATGGACAAAACATATTTTATTACTTTTATGTGGAATTTGCTTAATCCTGTAATACCAGCAACAACCCAATTATATCAGTGCATGTACCAAGGCATGGGCTCAAGCTGCTGCATCAGAAGTTGGATTTGGGTCTTGTCTAGATAACACAAATGACCAAGTGGACCAGTTTGAGACATCACTTCTAATTCACACCTGACTTGATTTTGCAATATAGATAAGCTTTTAGATCCTGTATGTGCAAGTGCAAATTCATGGATAAAAGAGGGAATGTGAAAGTTTGCACTGAATTTTTTTATGAAGCCCAGGTTTGGATGTGATTTTTCTTCTCCTGACAGCCTTTAGTGGGATTTGTATGAAAGGGGTATTGAAGGTGCAAGAAACTACATTTGTTTAGTTAGAGAAGTCTCAGTCTCATTCCTCCATTGGCTTGAATAAAATTATTCTGTTCTACTTGTCCAGAACAGCATCTCACAGTTTATTTTCAGTTCTCATCAGTTATGTTACAACTTCTTTGGGGTGGGCTGAGATCAATGATTTGCAGACCTTGAGTAGGAGCAGTCTGTATAGCAAATATTTCTCGAATTGTTCTCTGTATCTAAGCTTATCTGTACTTAAGCCATGTTGTTGCTGCTGATAATGTACCCCATTTTTATAGTATATGCACCAGAAATCAATAAAGAGATTTAGTAAAGCACTTGACATGCTGGTGTTTGTTCTTGTGTTAGTCAGACTAGAAGAAAAATAGCATTTAGTATTTGTATGACTGTAACACCTCTGAGCTGTTGCTGCTCTGGTAAGTACTGTCTAAATACAGAATCTCTGCCCCACAGAGCGGAGCACCAAATGAATAGTAGAAGAAAATGGTTACGTTTTTCTCAAGATCTTCCTTTTGTTTGCAAGGTGCCCTGGGATTAATCTAGGTCTTCAAATACCATGGAGAAAGAAATGTTTGAAAAACAGAGATAATAAAAGAAGAAGTGACAGGTGACATTTTGACCTGAAATGGACTTGCATGTTGTTGTCATTCACTAACCTGATCTGATTTGAGCTGGAAGATTCTTAAGATAGTTGTCTCTCACCTCAGACTCTCAGATAACCCCTACAACCAAATGAGGTTGCCAGTCCAAATCAAGCTCCAGCTTTCTTTAGAAGCAAGAAAAATCCAGTCATTGAGAACTAAAGTGATGTGGTTTTGCATATATAACTTGCTCAATAATACCAGATGATTGAAAAGGGACACACAGCAGCAGCGATCATTAGCTCCTGGCATACAAGCCTTAGCAAGTACAAAGTCTGCATTCCAGAACAAGGAGCTGAACTGAATGCACATCCACCCAGATGCTGCACATGCAAACACAGCAAAGGGAAAGGCATTTCAGGACCAATTAAAAATCATCACTGATTATAAGCCAGACAGAGACTCATGCAGATAACCAAGTCTCCAGTTGCTGCAGGCAGATCTCCAGGAATTTCAGTGGTAGGTCCTAGCATCTGAAAAGCAACCATTTGCATTGTGCAGACAACTGGGTAAGAAGCACACATATACTGCCTCGTAACTCTGAAGAGGGGGAAAGTACTCTGATTAAGTTGTTAATTAAAACTGAGGTGACTGGGTTTTTTTCTGGTTATGGAGAACTTGGGACGCTGGCCTGTGGTTTTGGCAATCCACTATAGCACTTATGGTGAGTTCAACAAACTTTAATCTGAGCTTTGTGCCCCACAGGCAGAGAATACAATTGCGTTCACTGAATTTGGGGGAGTTTGTCAATGTTTATAATCTATTTAGCATCTCTGAAATGGCAAGTATTTCCCGGCTGATGGCTCTTGGCAGACAGAAAGCTATGGATGATGGATGGTCAGGTGTGAAGCAGGTTCTTGCAGATCCCTGCTGAGCTCTAGTAACTTCTCGGCCAGTGGAGCCACACCAGCTGATCAGCTCTGTGCTTCGTCAGCCTGGCTGCTCTCCAGGACAGCTTGTGATGGTTTCTCATCCTAACAATACTAAGGATATGGGCAAACAAAATTACTCTCTCCTTGCATCTGTTTCATGCTCACACCCTCCTGCTCTCAAACATAAAGGCAAACTCCTCCTTAGACACAGCTTGAGAGGAAAATGCCCTGTCTGTTTACTGAATTGTTAAAACCAGGCTGCCTGGTCATTGGTTATATATATGACATTATACATATTACACATGACATCTAAAAAGTCATATGTGACACTAATTCCAGCATTAGGTAGTTGTCTTTCCTCTTTGTTTCTTGCTCCTTTCCTTTTCCCTGGAGTTCCCCAATTCCTTATATTGCATTCTTTTTCCCTCTGGCTTCAGGCACATCCCAGAGCTATGAGTGACACACATTCCCGCTGTTCTGGCTTGGCCTTTTTTTTCCTGGCCTTTCGGCCATTCTCTCAGCCCTGGCTGATAAGCACCATCCCTTTTATTCGTGGACACAGTAATGCATGTGTAAAGACTGCCGGAGATAATTAAAGAATGCAAACAAGCCATTGAAAGGATGGCCTTGATTAAATTGCATAGACTAGAGAAAACATTTTAGGACCTTGATGAAGGCAAATATAAAAATGTAAAAAGAACAACTAAAATCCTAAACTAAGGGTAGCTTCAAACCATTTTCTTTGGAAATTCAGCACACTCTTTTTAAAGGCTGCAGTGTGGGAATAGGAGGGACAGGATAACCAAATTCAGAGCTAGCAGAACATTCACTATTCAGGCTCTGCCTAGCAATTCTCACCATTGCATCAATTCCTGAGAGAAATTGTAACAGTCTACTCACGTGGAAAGCAACAGAAATGCTGTTGTGGCTAATACCTGGCATCAAGTCACCAAATGAGAAGTTGATTTGAAAAAGCTCTCTACCTGCCTATGTAAAAAATCATCCCAGAGCAAAGCCATCTTTACAGGCAGGAGAACTTCAAGGTGGGAGATCCGATCTCAGTTGTGTCCTGCCTCCATGCGGGCAGAAGATAGGAGACAACTGTACTTGGGCAGCAAGGGAGCCATGGTGCATCCCAGCAGGTCTTCCAGCAGAAATGCTTGGAGACTGATGATCTGGTTAGGACCTGAGCTGTAAACACGGACCTTCTGTGAACTGTACTAGTTAATTTTGTACCTTTTCATAGGGCTTGCTTGCCTGCAACTGGATATTTGGTGTGCACGTGCTGGAGATGTGTTGCTGTTCATCAATAAGCCAAAGACTCCATCGCTTCCTGGACTTCAAGAGCCTCACAATGGTAAACTCACACAGCTCCTCCTAAAAGACAGAATATACGGTAGCCCACAGCCTTTGAAATAAATCAGCTAACCACCTATCTGCATAGCCGGACTCACCAGTCCAGACAGGCAACCTTCCTGTGAGGTAGAAGACTTGAGTAGTTCATTCTGAAATGCCTTTTTTTTTGCTGCAGTAAGATTCACTAGGGAGGAGGACTTTCTTCAAACACATCCAGAGCTCTTCTTCTGTACTGCCTGCCTGCCATGGGGCTTCATTCAAGATAGCAATAACAGTGAAAAAGGTGGTAATACTGCTGGTTTTCCTTAAGACTTCTCTGATACAAACACAAGGTAACCTTAGTGCATTTTGAAGTTCACTAATATTTCAGGGGAGAGATTTCACCTAGAACCCTTTTTCCTTCAAAGCTGCCAAGAATGTCTTGTCTGCATTCCCAGAGCAGCAAATTCAGTGACTGCAATATTGTCGTTAGTTGTTAGCATGACCAGGCTGTTGATACACAAGATGCTCAAAGATGGACAAGAATCAGAAGGCCCTAGATGCCTTACTCATCAAACCTAAGTTTTCCTTCTGAATGAGGTGGTAGCATTAAAATATTGCAATAGTCTCAAATACATCTTGCTTTGCATCGCTTCTTGACAGTTCTGGTAAATGTAAGTCACCCTTTGTCTGTACTGAACAGGAAACTACCTCTGACTCCTGAGGTCTGGACTGGCCCTGAACTCAACGGAAATTTTCTGAGCTGTATCATCACAGTGTTACAGTTCTGGTCCAGTCAGATGAGCTTCCTTGTTTTTTTACAGAGGACGAGCTGGGGACCACTTCTGCGGCTGTATGTCCTCAACAGTCCATCTGACTTTTTCTTTTCCTTTTTCCTAATTGCAATAAGCTAGTCCTCCATCTGGGGGTGCAAGTTCGAGGTGATCCTCCTTTGCAAATAAAGCATGGACTGTCTTGTATGTTACTGTACTCCTCAGGGGGTGGAGGGAGGGAGAAGGTCTCTTAGTGCTTTTAGTTCTAATTTTTCCAAATGTAGCTTTGACACAAAGGTGAGGAAAACCAACACATGCCCCTAGATCCCATGGGTGTGCTAGAGGATGATGAAGTAAACCAGAATGTCATACGATTTCGATATACTTCATTCTGTAATCCCAAATGAATTAGGAGCTGAACAGAGCATCAAAGAAGAGAACAATGTTATGAGGGAGAAATACCGCCTCATTTTGTATGTTGTAGGCTCTCAGGCATGAATGCTTACATTCCTCTTTGTTTCTTATGGGGAATCTGGTGTCTTGGAATCTGGAAAACCAAATGCAGACCTTAGCGGAGAAGCAAGGGGGGAATCTAGTTTACAAACAAATGGTCAGCTGGGCTGGCAACCCAGCAGGCAACCGTGTAGTAAAGTGGTTTGATTCAGCAATAGAAGTAACTCTTGGATCCTTGAGAGTTACACCGGTTGCAGTAGGAGCTGGATTAGTCCTTACCTGCTTGCAACCCTCCTTCTGTGTTTAGGTGTGACAGTGATTAGAGTTTTCTCACCCCCAGCTGTATGGAGAGGTGTCTGTAACTCTCAGTGAAAACCACATGCAAAATCTGCCTTGAAGTACCACTTTTGCAACATGTTCTTGAAGCCATATCCTTATATACATTGTCCAAACCCCCATATTTCTAAGCTGATTTCAGTGTGCGATTTAATTATGGACTCTTAGTTCTTTCCTCATAATAATGGCCAAACTGCTCCACAGCTTTTTATCCAGACCTCTAAGGCAAAATGCAGACTTCTTTTTTTAACACAGGATCAGGCCCCCCCGCTCAATCAATTGTGCTTGAACAGGAAGCCAGCTAATAAACAGCAAATAACAAAACACAGCCCCTAAAATTGGGATGGTAAAACACCCTAACGCCCAACTTGACATGGTAGGCAATGCAGTTGAGGGAGAATGGCAGATGTGCATCCCGAATAATATATAGATCTCAGCGCTGACATCAGAGCACCTCTGGCTGCATGTTCTCTCCTTGGTCACCATTTCCCTTTTTAGCAAATGCATGTGCCTTAATAACTGACATTACAGAAATACATAAGGAGACATGAGGTTTGTCCTGAGGGCATTCCATAGTCCCCTGGCCTGAGAGTGGAGACTTGTAGAGAAGTCTCTTCATCTTCCCTTGCTTCTTATCTTAAATCTCAGTGGTAACTTGGGTTGACATAGTTATGCAGCACC